AACAATCTCAGAAATATTCTTGGGTATGAAAGGGCTTATCCTAATATGAACTAAAGTTGAACAAAGGATTTTGGGTTTAGCTGAACAACAAGAAAAACTTGAAGTTAAAATGTTTTAGTTGAATTTTTTGTTGTTGCTTTTAGTTTAACAAAGGTTTAACTAGCCTGTATATAATATCGAAAAGGCGAATTCTTGTCCACAGCAGATGACAAGCAGGTACTCCTGTAGTCCTCAGAACATAAAACAGAACCTGGCCAAGTCTTTGAGTGGGAAGTTAGAAGCACCTCACAACGCGAGAAGGAATATGAAGCATGGATCAGGGAGCTGGCAGAATATACACGAAGCCAAGGTCGAGTAGCAAAGATACAGGTTTGATTTTAACAATATCTGAGATCTACAATGCTTCTGATTTAATATGAAAAGGTTCAGTTTAGCTTCATTTTTAAAAAGCCACTCTATGTTTTTTTTCTTTTTTTCTCTTGGGTCACATCTGGCAATGCTCAGGGGTTACTCCTGGATCTGCACTCAGGAATAACCACTGGCATCGGCTTGGTCCTTGAGGACCATATGGGATGATGCTGGGGATTGAACTAGGGTCATCTGAGTGCAAGGCAAATGCCCTACCTTCTATACTATCACCCTGGCCCATCTTTATGTTTTAAACAAAGAAAATACTTACTCTAAACATCTTTATCCTCATAAAGAAGAAAAAGGATTCTGCCCTAGTTAAACATCTAGAAAAGTGAAATCTGGATTGCTATGTGACAGTGGCCAATGGTCTGTTTTTTGGTTTTTTTTTTTAATTTTATTAGTGAGACATCATGAGGTACAGTTTTAGACTTACAAATTTTTGTGCTTGGGTTTCAATTATACAATGATCAAATACCCATCCCTCCACTAGTACCCATTTCCCACCACCATGGATCCCAGTATCCCTCCCACCCCCCATCCCACCTTGCCTCTGTGGCAGGGCATTCCCTTTTGTTCTCTCTCTCTTATTGGGTGTTGTGGTTTGCAAAAGAGGCAATGAGTGGCAATCATGTTTGGTCTATAGTCTACTTTCAGCATGCTTCTCCCATCCTGGGAAGATCCTCCCAACACCCTTTATTTGGTGTTCCCTTCTCTATCTGAGCTCTTTTCCTTTAGCATGTGTGGCTAGCCTCCAAGACAAGTGCTACTACATGGAAAGTATCATGTTAAGCGAAATGACTCAGAAAGAAAGGGAAAGACATAGAAAGATTGCATTCATCTGGGGAACATAAAGTAACAAAATAGGAGACTAACACCCAAGAATGGCCGAGATTAGTACCAGGAATAATGGTCTGTTTTATCAGAAGGTTAGAACAAGTTTTCTAAGACACCTGCTCATGGCAGATGATTGTATATGGTCCAGAGGTTTTTGGGCAAAACTTAGATTTTTATTGGCAACATGGTTGACCCTTGAACACAACGTTTGAATTAAGTAGATCCACTTAATTTTTCTTTTGATGAGGGGAGAGAGGACATGGGGAAATACCTGACTGTGACGAGGGCTTAGTCCTGATTCTGTACTCAGGAGGCCATGCAGACTGGAGATCAAACCCAATTTAGTCCCATACAACACAAGTGCCTTACCTGCTAAATGGTATCTCTGGCCTACAGAGTAATCTATAAACACAGTACAATGCTGCAAACGTTATTCTTTTTTTAAATTTTATTAATGAAACACCATGAGGTACAGTTGTAGACTTACAAATTTTTGTGCTTGGGTTTCAATTATACAATGATCAAATACCCATCCTTCCACCCATGCTAGGGGAAAAGGGAGCTCAGAGAAGGGAGCACCAAATAAATGGTGTTGGGAGGATCCTCCCAGGATGGGAGAAGCATGCTGAAAGTAGACTATAGACCAAACATGATTGCCACCCATTGCCTCTTTTGCAAACCACAACACCCAATAGGAGAGAGAACAAAAGGCAAACGTTATTCTTAACATGCTCACAGTTTCTATAAAGAGGACAGTATGTTCTTTTGCCATTCTTTTGATTTTCTTAACATTTTCTTTTGCCTAGTTTACTGTGAGACAATATTTAATACACATGCTATGTTTATGGTAAGTAAGGCTTCCAGTCCACCCAGTAGTTAAGTTTGGGGCAGAGGGGAGGGGATAAAAGTTAAACCTGGATATCTGACTGCACAAGGAGAAGAGGGGGGCTTGATAGCCTGAAGTCCTGTATTGTTCATGGGTCAACTCTGTTTCTCTATTAGGAGTTGAAAATGTGTTTCTGAGAAATTCTTTAAGCTATTTCCACAAAAGGACAGATCTTACAAAAAAATATTCAAGTAAGGATTTTGGTATGCTGGCACTATCACTACCATTCAATCTATTAGATATCAAATGTTTCCTTCTTAAAAGTTTATCACCAATACTGAAATTTTGCAACTTGAGGAATTTTATAACAGATATTACTGAAATCAGCTAACACCCTTGAATTTAAGTTTAAAAAATTGCTTTCTCTTCTATGCTAAGTAAAAATTTAAAAAATAAATTGCTAGTTTTTCTTTCCTTAATCTTTGGATGTGTTTCCTACTTTGGAATACTGTGCAAGTAAGTTATGTGTACTACACATATATAACCATACCAGGGAGCTGAGCTGGGGGCTCTAAAGAAAAAGGGTTTCAGAGTAGTAGCTGTGTTCTAACGTTGTATTTTCTTGGGGCAGAAAAGAAAGTTGCCATGCTAAATTCTAGAAGCTGAATTTCATTTTTCCAATTTGGATTATCATTAAAACGTTATTTTTTTGGTTATGATTTAACCGCAGACTTTTAAGAGCTGAAAGGTAAATAAATATTTCACAAAAATATCCTATCTCCAAAGAGAAGCCAAATAAGAAATAATATCAATTTAGCAAAAAGTCAACTAATTTAGCCTGCTTTGAACAAATGCCATCAATATTTCTTCTCAGAAATACAAGGCAATATTTGACCTCAGAAACCTGAGATTTAATCACTCTGCACTTAAGACTAAATAATCATTAGAACTATTTAATTCATTTTCCATCTGTCTCACATTGGTCAACTTCCTCTAAAGTTTTCCAACAGAATTCATAAATATTAAAGTAAAGTAAAGTAAAGGCCCTCCCGTTGATCGTCGATTTGCTCGAGCGGGCCCAGTAACAGTCTCCATTGGAGACTTTGTTGTTACTGTGTCTGGCATATCGAATACTCTCGGTAGCTTGCCGGGCTCTCCGAGAGGGGCGGAGGAATCGAACTCGGGTCGGCCATGTTGACCGCTTGTAAGGCGAACGCCCTACCGCTGTGCTATCGCTCCAGCTACACTAATAGTTATAACACTGATAGAAGATACTGATACAGGTAATATCTGGAGAAGAAAACTCATGAGTGCCTCTGGATTCTGCTCGTCTAGACTAGAAAACAGAAGTCCCAGTATGAATGAAACAGACTATTTTAAGTTTCATCTGAAACATCAAACAATGATTCTCCAAATCACACTTCAGCTAAAAAAGGTAAAAAAAAGGTAAAGGCCCTCCCGTTGATCGTCGATTTGCTCGAGCGGGCCCAGTAACGTCTCCATTGGAGACTTTGTTGTTACTGTGTCTGGCATATCGAATACTCTCGGTAGCTTGCCGTGCTCTCCGAGAGGGGCGGAGGAATCGAACTCAGGTCGGCCATGTTGGCTGCGTGCAAGGCAGATGCCCTACCCGCTGTGCTATCGCTCCAGCCCATCATGGACTGCGGATGACAAATCCATGCCTGGAGTAGCAGGGCCCTATGCTGTAAATGGCATGGTCTACTTTCTGTGGATTCGAGAAGGCTAATTGACCCTGGCAGTAGCTGTCTTGGGGAAAGGAAAAAGAAACTTTTTGTGAGATGTCTCTGGTGCCCTTCTTCTGAGAGACTCAATATCCAAATTTAGACCATTGGGAGCCGCAGAAAGAGAGCAGCATCTGGAGTTCTGAAGATCCAGATGTTCTCATTCAGCTAAAAGTCAGTATAAAAAAAATCCCCTAGAAAAGTATTTGCTTTATCCCCCAAGAAAAGTAAATAAGGAACCATTGCCCATTTTCATATCTCATCAAACCAAATCATTAATAATGTATATTTTGTATTCATGATTACCACATATCTGCAATTATCTGATTAGCTAAGGACTTCTGTAATACATGACAATACACTTCCAAGTATTCTGTACAAAGACTTTTTATAAGACAATTTACAAGAACCTTATGTTAACAAAAGTTGATACTTAAATCAAATCTCCATACCCTTGGCAAACATAATAGGAAAACAATAGAATTCATAGAGTTCTCTAATACATTATATTTAAGAGAGAGAATTAGGTATGTACAGATAAAAAGATGTTAAAATGCCATATTCTTTCCAGCATTTGTTCTGTCACTTATTTCCCCTTATTAGAGAACAATATTATTTTTTCTTAAATCAGGGATAATACATAATATTAAGGAACTTAATTTCATAAATGAACATATGGTTTGCTTTTTCTATTGTTTAGCTTCTCTTAACACACAATTCTTTTATGCTACTATCATAATAACGATAAAAGTTTCCCTAGACTTACTGCTTTTATACTTCAAATGTAAAGTGACATAAAATTCAAGTACTTTATGTATTTTTGTTGAAAAATTTGACAGTGAATTCGACATCCCAAAGGAATTCAGTTTAGACATATTACTGGTTTTTATAGAAACAATAAAACAACAAGTTAGCACTAGTTTTGTTGTTTTGAACTTTCACAAAGTCTTGTAATGCTGGTTCAATGCAAACCACTAATAACAAATTCCAGTTTGAGTTCAAAAAGAGAAAATCAAACTGGACAGGCAGTACAATAGAGAAAGCATTTGCCTTGCACGCTGCTGACCTGGGTTTGATCAGTCCTGTAACATACCCAGAACCCTGCCAGGAGTAATGTCTGAGCACAGAGCCAGGAAGTCCTGAGCACTACCGGGTGTGGGCCCCCAAAATTAAGAAAAAAATCCTACCGGAAGGCAAACTAATCCTATGTCCATCTTTGAGCTTTAAACGACTTCTTTTAAATTTCCCCTTCCTCTTCTTTACGTTAGGCTTCTCTTGGTTTAACTGGAATATCATAATGTTAAGCTCCCGCTCCAGCACATCAATCTCACGTTCTGCAAGCTGCTGTTCACGCCGCTTTAGCAATTCTTCCTGGGACTTCTGCTGAAGGGCTGCTCGGGTCAGTTCCTCTTCCCGGGAACGCAGCTCCTGGAATAAGATTTACAGAAGCATAACCAAGGAGCTAAAGTTTCCTCTTCTAGCTCAACCACCTCCTCATTCTAGGCTGTAGGATAACATTGGCTTGCTCTTCCTCCCTGGCTGAGGGGAGCTTGTGTTTGCAGATTGCCCCCAACCTGTCAATTACCACTGTCTCCTGATCAGACTCTGACTTGTAAATATTGTCTTTCTCTTCTCCTTAATGTCCTCTGCATTTCAGAGCAACTGCTTTTTGTATGGATACAGGACAACAGTTAAAAAGACAAGCCTGTGGCTTGGGAGTTGACTGACTCCAGCTAATATTACCTCCTGGACATCTACTCTGGCAGTTGCCCTTACTTCCTAGACTTAACCCTCAGTTGCCCTTACTTCCTAGACTTAACCCTCAGTTGCCCTTACTTCCTAGACTTAACCGTCAGTTGCCCTTACTTCCTCGATCCCCAAAAGCAGGGTCCCAACAAGGGACTGGATGGACCCAGGGCAAGTGATGAGCTACCCTGGCATCGAAATGGCCCTGGCCAAAGTGTCACAACTCTTAACTGGAAGTTAAGAGCTCAGTCATGGACAGATTGTCATGATCCAAAAAGCATTAACTAGATTTGAACCCTACTGGGGTCAGAAATGATTTATCCAGCCTGAGCACTGTAGTCTGAGTCTGTGGTGAGATGTCCCCAGGAGATCACCCTACAAGCCTAAAAGTGTTTATTACTGTGTCCACACAGAATGGTAAATATTAGGAAGTGGAAATAAAGATGTTAATTAAGTTGCAGGTCTAAGGTGAGGAGAAACCTTAAGGGCTGTTTTGCCCTTGTGGGTTGCAGGTGGTCGGGAAGACTAGAAAAAACATGTTGATCATGCTTCCCGTGGGGAGGTGTAGTTGGGAAGGCGTGGAGAGAGAAGAAAAAGAACAGTTGCTAGGAGGAGAAGGAAGGTTGCTGTAGGGGTAAGAGAGGAAGGAGAGACAGACGGTTACAGAGAGACAGAGACAGAAGAGGATAGGAGATTGTGAGAGATGCCATGTTAGAGAGAAGGCTGAGAGCTGAGAGTAAGAGTGACTGGGGAGATTGGAGAGGAGTCAGGGAGAGAGTGGTAGAGCGAGTTACAGAGAGCGTCGGAGAGAGCTGGGAGAGACAGAGGTTGAATAAACAGTAACTAATCAGCAACCACTTTGGCCCTCATTCTTCCTTCATCCGTTCAAGGCAACAGCCTCCTAGATGGAGAAGCGGCTCGAGAGAGAGAGAGAGCCAAACACAGGCGGTGAGAGAGAGCTGTCCAGAGAGCCTCAAACATCTCTTAATGAGTGAAGGAGTTTACACAGCTCCACGCTGAGGGGTTTTCACAGCCTGGGGAGGAGTTTTCTTTCACACTAGTCCCATAGAAGAGTTCTCTACGGCCAAGAGAGTCAGCACTAAAGTTAAGTTCCTATCACACCATCAAACTTAGGCTAAAATTGAAGACTTCTGTACAGGCTTCTTTTCTTTTCGTTTTGTAATTTCAAAGATGCATCCAAGTAAAGTCCAACTTTAACATTTAGTTTTCTTGCCCAGTCCCTGCCCTTTATAATCGCACAAAATATACAATTACATTTAATACAGAGCAATGAAAGGCAGCTATGAATGAATGCTATAAATGACTACAGTTTGTTTTTGTTTTTTTTTTACTTAGAGGTTTCATTGGGATATTTAAAGTTTTGCTCTAAGGACCAAGGAAATGGTTCAAAAGAATGAAGCACATGCTCTGCATGGGGAGTCCCTAGGACTAATCATAAGCCACACATGGTTTCCCAAGTGATGCCCTGAACACCTAGTTAGGTGTACGGCATAAAGACAAACCAAAATAATAATTTTCTTGACACAGAGAAAAAAGGCCGCGGGGGGGGGGGGGGGGCGGCGGCGCTCCACAGCTGCCGGAGAATGCACCAGGTCCTGAAGAGAGCCGAGATCACCGGGAAGTCCCAGATGGGGTAGGTGCCGCATTCCACCTCCTCCAGATGGAACCCCGGTGACCATGAGCCTCTACAAGCATAGCTCGAGTATATGGGAACCAGGACTTTTACTCCAAACCGCGCGGTTATATGCAAGGTGATCACTGGAAAGTAAATCATCCAATGTTTCTCCCTGAAAACCAGGCTTAACTCTTATACAGGCCACAACACCCAATGGGAGAGAGAGAACAAATGAGAATGCCCTGCCACAGAGCCAGAGTGGGATGGGGGGGGGGGGGATACTGGGATTCGAGGTGGGTGGAAATGGTCACTGATGGAGGGATGGGTATTCAAAATAAATGAATAAATTTAAAAATAATAATAATAATTTTCTTTGAGAAAATATCCTGCTGGAAAGATTAAGAAAAAAAGATAAAATTAACATGTCAACTGAAGGTTCATTAAAAATAAAATGAGACATCGCTAAGAATATTATCTAAAGGAAAATATATTTATTTACATAGACCTTTTCAGGATCCTGTCAATGCCAGAAAATATCACCTGGACCTCAAAGGGTTGAAGCTGCTGCTTTGCAGGGAGACACAGGTTCAGTCCTGGCACCTGGTGGCCTCCTAGAGCCCTCATGAATTAACTAACCAAAGTCTCTCTGTTATGATAATGATTAAAGAAAAATTTCCCCTTGCTTTTTGCTTTTTTTAGAAGTATTCAACTTGGAAGAAATAGAAAAAAAAAATCAATGAATGTATGTGTGTGTGTGGGGGGGTGAGGTGGAGATGTTTATGTTACTAGAAAAAAAAAGTATTTAACAATAAAATTGAGAGGTTTTCTTGATGTACTGCTGGCTTTGTATATTTTTAAATTGCAACTCCATCCTTATTTTTGTGAAAGATGGTATTCTTTACCAGAACCACATACCTCTTTAGTGCTGAACTACTTTGTCTCCTATATCACCCTGCTACTAAATCAAATGCTCAAATTAAAAATCAAGGTTTTTGCAAACTTTCACTCTACCTGTTCCAGATAAATTTAATCGTAAAATATACTAATGCTGAAATCTTTGTTAGAAAGAGATATTTCCCATAAATTTTGGGCTATGAACTTAGAGAACAACAAGTGCTCTCAAGATTTCATAATCTCCAGATTTCATAATTTCAAGACATCTCAAGATTTCATCATTTTATTTTGCACAGGTCCTTCAAATATACGGATGCATAAAATACATTGTAATATGGAAGCTCACTAAAGAAACTAAGCCACCAAACGAAAATGCCAAGGCCCATCTCTGTCAATACAATTATAAAAAAAGGTAAGAAACACACAGAAAAAAATTTCTCCACAAATAACCAAAATGCTTCTTGATGATAAAGACGTCTAAAAACAAAATTGAGCCAGAGCGATAGTACAGTGGATAGGGTGCTTGCCTTGCATATGGCTGACTCAGATTCGATCCTCAGCATCCTTGGGTTCATGGCTCATGCATTCCTGAGCAGAGAGTCAGGAGTAAGCCGTACCACTAGGTGTGACCCCCAAATCAAAACAAAACAAAATATGAATAAACAAGTAAACATGTATTTACTCAGATCAAATCAGTTTTGCATTTAAGTAATTCTATCAAATATGGGTTGAAATTATTTTTAACACATTCTTTAAATTCATTTTTTACACCACACACCGAGCCCCCAAATGATCTCTACCAGGAGTAGGCCCAAAAAACCCAAAAAGAAAATAAATTCATTTCTTTAAATAAATTTCATAAGCTCTAGGAGAAATGGGATAAACTGACATTCAAATAAGTTCTACTAATAGGTATCAGCTAATTCTTATGGAGCAGATTTCTTTATTACACGGGGTCAGATTAAATTATTTATTATTCAAAAAGAATAAAATGAAGAAAATGTACATGTTAAAAAAAAACTCTGGAGCCTTTATTAAACTCGAGTTGGAAGAGGTGAGTCAGGTCTCAAAAGACAGCATTATGATTGAAAGGAACAAGACCATTCGCACTCTCCTCTCTGGAAAGAAAGATGGCGGCCACATGGGAGCCTTGTGGACAGCAGGCATGAGCCGGGGGAGTGGGGGCGACTAAAACCTCATGAGAAGGGGGGCGTTCCGGTCCGCCCTTCACGCCCTACCTAGGTCACCAGTTGCCCCCCACAAGCGGCTCTCCAGCACGGCCACGGCCCCAGAAGCACAAGGACTTAATGCAGAACCCGGCAGCTTGGAGCAGAAAAGTGAACGGACTATGCGTTAATCCAGGCCATCATGTCTGCCCGGAGGGGAAAGGGTGTTGGTCCCTTCCACCCTCCACCCTCTGGAAAGAAAGATGGCGGCCACATGGGAGCCTTGTGGACAGCAGGTATGAGCCGGGGGTGTGGGGGCGACTAAAACCTCATGGGAAGGGGGGCGTTCCAGTCCGTCCTTCACGCCCTACCGAGGTCACCAGTTGCCCCCCGTGAGCGGCTCTCCAGCACGGCCACGGCCCCAGAAGCACAAGGACTTAATGCAGAACCCAGCAGCTTGGAGCAGAAAAGTGAAAGGACTATGCGTTAATCCAGGCCATCATGTCTGCCCGGAGGGGAAAGGGTGTTGGTCCCTTCCACCCTCCTCCCTCTGGAAAGAAAGATGGCGGCCACATGGGAGCCTTGTGGACAGCAGGTATGAGCCGGGGGTGTGGGGGCGACTAAAACCTCATGGGAAGGGGGGCGTTCCAGTCCGCCCTTCACGCCCTACCAAGGTCACCAGTTGCCCCCGCGAGCGGCTCTCCAGCACGGCCACGGCCCCAGAAGCACAAGGACTTAATGCAGAACCCGGCAGCTTGGAGCAGAAAAGTGAACGGACTATGCGTTAATCCAGGCCATCAGGTCTGTCCGGAGGGGAAAGGGTGTTGCCCCAGTCGTCTTCTCCTCTCTGGAAAGAAAGATGGCGGCCGCATGGGAGCCTTGTGGACAGCAGGTATGAGCTGGGGGAGTAGGGGGGACTAAAACCTCATGGGAAGGGGGGCGTTTCGGTCCGCCCTTCACGCCCTACCAAGGCCACCAGTTGCCCC